ATGTGAGCGCGCTCACTAAGGTTCTTTAATTTGGTTTATTCACTGACGAGCAATTGTACGTTTAATTTGTGTCCGATTTTAAACGTTCTGCCAGTTTTGTATTTTCTCACAACTTATATAAACTGCAGCTGGTGTCACTAGTTGGACAGTTACTAATTACCTTTCTAGATCCCATATGATCACCCTACAGTTTAGTTGGGGGAGGCGTGGCTAAGTGTTTAGATTTTTATGCAAAATATGTGAAATTTAGGTGCTGTAAGAAAGTTTTGCCAGTCCTTTCACCTATTTACCAGATCTACTTTTTAATAAAAATAATAAGTAGTTCCCAGATTTAAGATATACCCCAAAACCTTGACCAGGTTTATAGGTTTAATGACGGAGACCACATTCAACTTAAATTTACAGATTTAAATTTACAAATAATTCTGCAACATCAAATAAATAAATGACAATGTTAAACTGCACTTGCCAATAAGACAACTATCATAAGCATACAGAACAATAAGACCAAAACAAAGAAAGTGTCAAGATGCATTGATGTAAAAAATGGATATGTGTATTCATCCATCAACTAAAATGAAAAAAATAATATATAAACTAAAATTATACTTGAATGTTTTTGTTTAATTTAATTTACATAAATCTGGGATAAGTTGTCCCAGCTGATTAGAACTTTTGGTTTCTGATGCTTTCCAACTACATATATCATGTCATAATTGATTTGGCCTTTCACTTTTTCCAACTGATTTCGTTCTTGACAAAACCCGGTGTTTATCGTTCTAGCAATGTTCTCCTTAAGGTACGCAAACGGGTCTTGTTATCATCATAATAACTTTCCCTAAAGTATCAAAAAGAAGCTGAAAATATGCTTCTATTCAATATTTTTATCGGATATTTACTTTCGTTTTAATTCATTGTATGTTATGATAAATCCCGAGCAATTTCGAAAAAAATATGACGACAAATGCTAATTGGATAAACGCTGAGAAGATCGAAATGTTTTCATAAACACGTGTACCTTTTGAGCAACGGAAAATTCCAACAGGGACCCATTTCAGCTACTTGATGCAGGGCTCTATTTTTAGAACGAAAGGACATTTCCAATTATAAATATTATATTTACGCGACGACTGTAATCAGATAAGGGTAAATAACGCAAACGATAGCGAATAAAAGCATTAAGAACTCATGGTTTTGGCATATAATTGGGTTTTCCTTGGAATGAATTGGGTTTTTGAACCCTGCAATGGGCAATTGCATTGGGTTTTTTATTATTTGTATTGCGTGATCACGCAAATACGCAGCTTATCTGGAGCTCTGGGTATATTAATTTTGTCCAACTGTCGCCTGGTGAGATTAATAGTTTATGGTAAAACTTTATGATACCATATGGCCTAGGTGTTGATTGACTTTTATTTTTATGACCTAAGATATGGTAATGAAATAGCACCCGTAACTTATTGAATATATCTGCTAAGTGAACATCACAGCATGAATCTGTCCATTTTTGCGTGAAGGTGACACTCAAAGTCAGGTGACATATCAAACCGTTTCTTTTGTAATTAAGATTAATTAACATAACAGTCAAAATAGTCTGTTTTAATCTGTCAGTGTAATCAATCACTTTTTATAAATAATCTGATTACAGTAATAACGATGCTGATCTGATAAATCAATAAACTGATAATGCCCCCAGTTCATCAAATCTCGTATCTAATCAGTCGATAACGCAAAATCACGATCCATCTTGCACATGCGCATTGTTTCCCTGAACTAGAGTATTGTATGTTTCTAATGAGATTTGGTAGAACGCATGCATTGTTACCTTGGACAGATCACATTTGAAATTTTTGCAGATCATAATAGTTCCTTAAAGATTGTTTATAACCCACATCATCCGGTCTGTGTTTTTGTTTGATTGTTCTGCTCTGTATAGATCTGATGAGTTAAGGGCATACAGTTACAGGGGAGGTAATGACGTTGCTATTGTAATATGTTATTTTTCTTGATGTCAAACTGCGACATATCGGGAAAATATGCATTTTTCAATGGATTTTAATCATTAGCTTGAAAACGAGTTCATGGACCCCTTTTTTTAAAATGACAAATGACTTGGTACTGTATGAAGATTATTTGTTCCAATTTTTTTGAAAAAATCACAGAACAATTTTTTTTAAATTAGATAAATTTGCAGGAAAAAATGCTGTTTTTGTCGAGCCTGCGACTTTTGTCGCAGAAAGCTCGACATAGGGATAGCGATCGGGTGGCGGCGGCGTTAGCTAACTTCTTAAAAGCTTTATATTTTAGGAGATGGAAGACCTGGATGCTTCATACTTTGTATATGGATGCCTCATGTTACGAAGTTTCTGTCAGTCACATGTCCAATGTCCTTGACCTCATTTTCATGGTTCAGTGACTACTTGAAAAAAAAGTTCAGATTTTTTGTAATGTTAAATTCTCTCTTATTATAAGTAATAGGATAACTATATTTGGTATGTGCGTACCTTGCAAGGTCCTCATGCCCGTCAGACAGTTTTCACTTGACCTCGACCTCATTTCATGGATCAGTGAACAAGGTTAAGTTTTCGTGGTCAAGTCCATATCTCAGATACTATAAGCAATAGGTCTAGTATATTCGGTGTATGGAAGGACTGTAAGGTGTACATGTCCAACTGGCAGGTGTCATCTGACCTTGACCTCATTTTCATGGTTCAGTGGTTATAGTTAAGTTTTTGTGTTTTGGTCTGTTTTTCTTATACTGTATGCAATAGGTCTACTATATTTGGTGTATGGAATGATTGTAAGGTGTACATGTCTAGCTGGCAGGTGTCATCTGACCTTGACCTCATTTTCATGGTTCAGTGGTCAAAGTTAAGTTTTTGAGTTTTGGTCTTTCTTTCTAATACTGCATGCAATAGGTCAGCTATATTTGGTGTATGGAATGATTGTAAGGTGTACATGTCTAGCTGGCAGGTGTCATCTTACCTTGACCTCATTTTCATGGTTCAGTGGTCAAAGTTAAGTTTTTGAGTTTTGGTCTTTTTTTCTAATACTATATGCAATAGTTCAACTTTATTTGGTGTATGGAAATATTTTATGATCTATATGTCAGTTACACAGGTTTTATTTGACCTTGACCTCATTTTCAAGGTTCATTGCTCAGTGTTAAGTTTTTGTGTTTTCGTCTGTTTTTCTTAAACTATAAGCAATAGGTCAACTATATTTGTTGTATGGAAGAATTGTTAGCTGTACATGCCTGCCTAGCATGGTTCATCTGACCTTGACCTCATTTTCATGGTTCATTGGTCAATGTTTAGTTTACTTGGTTAATGTTAAGTTTATGTGACAGTTGTAATAAAGCTTTATATTTAGGACTATCAACATAATATCAATGATTAGTAAAGAAGGCGAGACATTTCAGCGTGTGCACTCTTGTTTGCTAAAATCATGAAATTTTAATAAAACAAATTTAATGCATAATTTTGTAAAGAAGATATTCCAAATCGTTTAACAAAAATCTGCATGTGTTTACCTTTTGAAACAAAAAAATTAAGTAGGTCTGTCCAAATGATAGAAATGTCCAAGAAATCAAAATTTTATGTAAATGTCTAAAATTTCGACCCCATTTATCTCTAAATTTAGCACATGAAGATATATTTTATTATTACATATTTGAATTAACTAAGTGAAAAATAGCTTGTATGCAAATTTTCGTAAAAAAATCACTGTGGGATCAAAACTGTATCGTATGCCCTTAAGCCTTTTTCAACTGATTTTTATAGTTTGTTCTTATGTTGTGCTGTTTCACCACTGTCCCAGGTTAGAGGGAGTGTTGAGCGCTCACAAACATGTTTAACCCCGCCACTTTCTTTATGTGTCTGTCCCAGGACGGGAGCCTGTAGTTCAGTGGTTGTATGTTCATGTCGGTCATATTTATTATTCGTAAATTTTTTTGTTATAAATTTGGCCGTTAGTTTTCTCAATTGAATTGTTTCTAAATTTTTATGTCGGGGCCTTTTATAGCCGACTAAACGGTATGGGTTTTTCTCATTGTTGAAGGCTGTACCTTTGCCTATGATTGCTTACATCCATTTCATTTGAACTTTGGTGGATAGTTGTCTCATTGGCAATCATACCTCATCTTCTTATTTTTATATCATACAATGTATTTACCGGTACCCAAAGAAACTTACAGTATTTTAAATATTACATTGATACATTTATTACTAGTCCAGCTCCTGTGGAGGGGAAATACTGTTTTTAATGTCTGTCTGTTACACAAGTTTTTCATTGCACTTTTCTCAGAAATGACAAATCAGGGCTTCCTGAAATTTGGTTCTAAGCTTATGGTGAGCATGCTATACCTTGTAATGTGTTGGTCAACCTGGTGTTTTGCTGTCCAGCTTATTAACTGGACAGTTGGAATTATATAGTTATCTGATATATTTATTCTGCAGATCCTTAGGTCATAAACATAACCATTAACCACCCCTAATGCCTTAAATAGAAGGAAAGCCTTTTCACAGCCTCCTGGCCAAGAAATTACCAACAGAATTAAGGTGAATTATCCTTATTATCCTCTGCGTACATACTGATTATTTAAAGAAAATTTTGTAATACAATCAATCTGCATCTCTATTATGTCCCAGGAATTGAGCCATTGGCTCTATTTTGGTTCCCTTTCTACATTATATCACTGATTGAGTCAGTACAAACTTATACATTCTACATAAGTGCCAAGGAAATAAAACATACTTCTTTGAGGTTGTTGATGCACTTTTCCTTATGCATACAAACCCAAACAAAAAAAGACAAATACAAAAAAAAAAGACATCAGTATTTAAAAATTATATCTTAGGCGCGTTGCCAGGAATTTTCAAAGGGGGGTTACATCGACTCACGACAAACAAAATCCAAACTTTAATAGTCACAGTTCAAAGGGTTTGTACAAACCTCTTGACCAACCCGGCTGTGTCTATCATATTTTTTTTATTTTTCAGGATTTTCAAAGAGAGTTATTAAGAAGTTTATTAATGGTTTTCCTAAATCTTGGAAGAATTATGTAAAAGAACATTTTAATGGTTTAAGTAGACGTAGGTGAGGCCATAGTACATTTTTAGATTGTTAGGGAGCATAGGAGTTATTAAATTTGTTAAGGCATCAAATACAGTTTGGTAGTATCCTTTCAAAAGAAATAAAGCATCATAAAACAATTGTTTACAAGATACAAGCAATAATATTAAAAACAAAGAAAATTTCAGCTAAAGCTTGACAATAGTTCATTTTAAAATTAAAATCATAATCTAAATTGATCTGGTTTTTTTTCCACAGTGGGTCAGAGCGTTACTTAACACCCAAAGCACAGAAGCCAGGAACATCTGATGTGTCTTCTGAAGGTAAGCGTGTCTAAATCTGCTTCTGTAAATAAATTATTTTGTCCAGGTTGTAAAAATAATACTGTGAGAGCTTTTATAAAAGTCAGTATGTAGATCATTAGTGTAATTAGCACTGCCCACGACCTGAATTTTCTGACGACTTGACAGCAATCTGAAATTTGGAAAAAAATATACAGTTGAAATTTAAAGAGGTCTTTAGAAAAAGATTCAGGATCTGGTATAAACTACAAAACAAACTTTGCTATATTTCTTTATATAACAGGAATAAAAGTATAACTAAACTTCCTTTATTATTTATTGGTATCAAAAATTAAAATGTACCTTACAAAAAAAATTGTAGATTTTCATTTAGTGATATAATGTTTGATATTTCCTGCAGTAACTTGCCTTAAATATGTTTAGAAATTTAGATATGATCTGCCCTGCTTTCTTCTTTTGTTATTTGAATTATACATGTGGGTAACAGGTGTCACTGAGTTCAGTTTCATCTCTATTATACCATGGGTTTATGATAGGGAATAAAAATGTTATTTGTTATCTGTAATCTGACATTAGACACCACATAATTGTGGTGGGCATAATCTTCTTTAATTAGTAAACTCACTGCTTTATTAAGCAGGCGGTATACAGTAATGGGGGATTTGTCCATCCTTTCATCTGTTTGTCTGTTTGTCCATTCGTCCTTCTGTCCCACTTGCTCATTCACCACTGCTCCAGAAATGCTTTATAGAAAATAACATGATTTACTTTTGCACCTCCATTTTCTTCAACCGAATAATTTTTGGGGTTTACTTTAAGAGACATGGGAATGCTTATTAAAGTAAATTAACATTTGTACCCTCTTCTCCTAAACCCCTCATAATAACTTATTGAAACTTTCACAGAATATTGCACCTATAATGCCATTGTGTACCTATTATGTGTTTTGGTCCCAATCATTTTTGGGGTTTCCCTTAGCAAAGTATGGACTTTGCCATTGCTTTATTTTGGGGTACCAATTTGTATCCTCAACTTCTCCCAAACCACTTATTACAATTTTTTTAAACTTTCTCACATTCTTAACCGTATGGCAACTTCAATCAGCAAATCATATGCACACTTTGATACATATTTACAAAAATGTATATCCCTTCTCAAACCCCTAATCAGAATTTGATGAAATTTTCTAAGAATCTTCACTTTATAATGCCATTGTGCACCTCCTATTTTGTTTTTTATCTCAAATATTTCTAGGGTTTCAAATACCAAAGCTAAGACTGAAGGGTACAAGGGGTGTAATTTTGTGAGCTTTGTTGGCAGTACCTCCTATTTTATTCTCAGTGTATTTAGAAGAACTTTTATTGCCAATATTGGTAGTATAATCATATATATATTGCACTACAGTTTACACACCCACTGGGATGGTGTATGAATTGGGCAGTTTGAAGACAACACGGAGTGGAAGAGTTGTTAAACCTACTCTAGCATGGTGGGCCGGTCAGAGGGTTAAAACTTATGATGACAACACATTTGAAACAACATACATTTCATCACACACTCCAGAAATATTGAAAGAAATGTCTGAAACTTATAAAGTAAGTAACATATAACATGAAATTATAGGTTGTTATGTTTGTAAAGAGTAAGTTAAAATCAACATATATATATACTAGTAAAAACCAAGTTGCTGAAGAATGAGCACTCAAATCAGAATAGACTTCTTTTTTGTCATTGTATACACCTTATCTCTAATGTGCTTTTACTTGAAGTCACTGACCTATCTGTAAATTTAAACACTAAAAATGTCTTACACCCCAAAGCAAAAGTTATTTTGTGTGATTGCAAAATTCATGTGTTAAAAAAATCTCTGGTCAAGTGTTGCAAATTCCCAAATAGTGATAATAAGATCTATGGATAGAATTCTGTCTTATAGATATTTACTCCAATATATTATGTATTGATATAAGGATCAGCATCCTGAACTCTCTTTGCTGTGGATTCATTATAATTCTATACCATTTTCATGGATAAAGGTAAACCACCAGTTTAAGTGTTGAGCGATGTTCAAATTTTCTGTATGCTTTTATGAAGACTTTGGCAGAACCAAGAAATCAAATATTCCTGAAAATACTGTTTTTCCTCTTTCCACATAAATTGGTATCCCATACCTTCAACCCTCCTGTTTTGAGTTGGAGTCTCCGACACAAACAATGAAATTCCGGAAATCTCCCGCTTACCAGTCCGCTCCCACATTGAGATATTTTAACCCAGAATGACCCGTGTTCATATTTCTCTGGATTTTACATTACTGTCAATAGAAATAAACGAACACTGGGCGATCATTTGAAAATTTTCATGATTAGTTTTTATGTTCGATTTATAAGTAATCAAAAATCATTTTTGCCATATCAACTCCTACAAGAAAGAGGTCTTTTACTGAATCAAGCAGCAGTGTAAAAAAGGAGAAATATACCTGCAAATGTCATGCAGATTGGATGAAAGAGTTTCAATTTTTACGATCAATCTTCAATCGGAAATCTTCATTTTGCACATTATGTTCAGTAAACTTTTCGGTTGTTTCTGGTGGTCTGTACAATGTTAAAAGGCATACTGTGTGTGTGTCTCACAATTAGGCATTTGAGGCTCAAAAACTACAAATCTTCCAGAAACCAAACGATAAATTCATTTGATATTTGACATTTGTTATCATGGTTATATAGATTATAACAATGAATAAAAGAAATAGAGTATTAACCCATATTGGTGTTTTGTTGATGTATAAAGTGTACAGGTCATATATTTAGCTTGAAAATGTTGTTCGTGTAAAATCTCCCCAGATCTCCCTCCTTGAAGGTTTCAGAGGTTGGCAGGTATGGTATCCACCAAAATAAATGAATCCACAGTATATATCATCAGATTTTTGGATTGAATTATATAAAGGAAGTATGATGACTTTCCATTAGAAATTCATGTTATAAAAATTCATATGATAAATATAGATAGCACTTGATTTATCAACTTCATTTTTTAATTCAATATCAGGCAAGGCATCTGAGTACATCAACAAACAAAAGAGCCAAAAGTTATAGCAGTGACAGCTCTGTAGCTGAGAAATCTAAAAGTACAGATAAAAAATTGCTAGTGAAAAATAACAAAAGTGCAAAAGGGATTTTGGATAGACAGGACAAGCAAAAAAGATCATCAAAACAAGAAAAAAATGAAACTAATAGTTGTGGCAATAAAAACTTTAGATCACATGATCAATCAGACTCCAGGACCACAGGATATAGCAAAACTACACAGATTTCCTCTTTAAATAATAAACCTGAAACTGACGAGGATCTTGATAGTTTGGTAGAAGATTTAGATAACACTGTCAGACAGGCAAAATTGAAAAGAAAAACACCTGTGGTAAGAAAAGATACATGTTACAGTCGTACAGGCAAATCACAAAAGAGTTCTAAAAAGACTTCTGATGATACATACTCAGTAGATTTAGATCAAGATTTTGAAGAGGACACCAACGTTAAAGGTCAAAAGTCTAATTTGACATCTAAGAAAGGTCATAAAAGTACAGATTCTTCAAAATCATCTGTAGTGCAAAATAAGAATGGTTATAAGGGTACTAATTCTAGAAAACTTGAAAAGCAAAGTAAAAAGAAATTATCAGACATTCCGAAGTCACTTAAACAAAGATCAAATAATCAAAGAAAGAAGAATTGTATTTCTTCAGATGAAGAATCTAGTGATGATGATGATTTTAGTAAGAAGACTGGCAGTGTTAAGAACTCAGAAGATTCAGATCCAGATTTAGTAGAGGACACAAACATTAAAGGTCAAAAATCTAATTTGACATCAAAGAAAGGTCATAGAAGTACAGATTCTTCAAAATCATCTGCAGTTCAAAATAAAAATGGTAATAAGATTACTGCCTCTAGAAAACTTGTTGAGCAAAGTAAAAATAAAAGATCAGATATTTCAAAATTGAATGAAAATTTCAAGAAAAAAGAGATAACTTCAATGTCACTTCGAGAAAGAACAAATGATTATAATGAAAGGATGAAGATTTGTATTTCTTCTGATGAAGAATCTAGTGATGATAATGATTTTAGTAAGAAGACTGGCACTGTTAAGGCTAAGAGAACACAAAGCAGGATTAATAAACCATCGGAGAAATCAAAGGATGAGCAAGTCAGTAAGAAAAAGACTGGTACCAGTAAAGCAAAAGATAAACAAAATAGTGCACAGAAAATGTCACAAAATTTGATTGAGGAATTATTACCATGGTCCAGACAGGAAGTTAGCATTCTAAATAAGTATGTACACTGTTAACAATGAACATAACAAGATTTAAGGCAACACAAGTAATTTCTATACACATTGATACCAACAATAAAAAATTACTGTTATAAAACAATACCAAAACAAATTTCCATAGTTAATGAAATTGATACCAGTGTTCTCAAAACATTAGCATATAGGATAGTAAATGAAGTGTATAAGTTTTGACACTGTAGCCTTCATCTGCTGTTAAGGCTGAATGAATAAAGAGATGAATAGTAAATTGAGCACACCAACTTGTGTTTCTATTGTCATGAAAATGTAATAAGAACATTTCCTTACATTATCTGTGCTTGAGGTCCTTTTACATATAGACTGTTAATAAATACCAGAAAATCAGGTTTTTATAACAAATTTTTATTTCAATTTGCTGACGGTTTCAATTAAAGGCAATATAATTTATTTAATTTGGGATTAATAACCTTACAGGTAGACAACATGATTCTATGAGTGTATATGTATTGTATTCATTCAAGGTACAAATCTTTTTGAAAATGTTTGAATTGTTAAATAAATACATGCTATATACCAAAAAAGCAAAATCAACTTGACTATAATGTACACAAATATATTAAATATTACAGTGCAATAGCCAGTATACCAGGAGATGATCCCTCTTTTTGGGAGATTGTCTCAGAGAAAGTTGGTACACGGACGAGTGAAGAATGTATTGCATGGTACTACAAAGATGTCCCTAAGTCTACAAAGAAAAGAAAAGTCAATAATACAGGTAACTGAGTTTTATTGTGCGTATTGCTATGTGTTTCTTTATTCTACATTGGCTAGAGGTATAGGGGGAGGGTTGAGATCTCACAAAACATGTTTAACCCCGCCACATTTTTGCGCCTGTCCCAAGTCAGGAGCCTCTGGCATTTGTTAGTCTTGTATGTTTTTTAATTTTAGTTCATTTATATGTTTTGGAGTTTAGTGTGACGTCCATTTTCACTGAACTAGTACACAATTTTATTTAGGGGCCAGCTGAGGACCACCTCCGGGTGCTGGATTTTCTTGCTGCATTGAAGACCCATTGGTGGCCTTCGGCTGTTGTCTGCTCTTTGGTCAGGTTGTTGTCTCTTTGACATATTTCCCATTTCCATTCTCAATTTTAGTCTCTCATAAAATGTTTGGTATGTATATTTGTTTGTTTGTTTGCAATGAAATGGATGAAGGTTAGATATAGTGTTAACTTCAGTTGGCAGCTTTAACAATTTACGAATGAGCTTAATATCTTATCCACTCTTTTCCTTAGTAACTATGTATGACAGGCCACCAATATTGGGTATAGGGAATGTTAATTTTTACAATTTTTTTTTCACTCCATGATATATTTTTATCTCACCTGTCTCAAAGGACCAGTGTGAGCTGTCAACACTTTGTGTCCATCATCTGTAATCTGTTAACCTTACAAAACTCTTTTCCTCTGCAGGGCCAATTAGAACCTTAAATCCATTTCATTTAGACTATTGGATAGTTGTCTCATTGGCAATTTTACCAAATCTTCTTATTTTATATACAAGTTAACTTTTATTGTTGCACATTTGATTGTTTTCTTATTAAACGACACCATTAAATGCTATCTTTGATTATTTTCAGTGAAACCTAATGAAGTTAGAGCTATAACAGCAGGGAAAGGTACTCTAAAGAGAAAACAACAGCTTAGAGATCTGATAGAACACCATAATGATGGCTATGAGGATGATTTATTTGATTCTACTCCATATAGGAACCAAGGCAATGTTAAGGTAAGGGATACATTTCAATCAAACCTGCCATAATAGACCCCTTTATATATAGTAAATCACTGTCTATAAATTGAAAATGATTACACTAAAAGTCAGTAGGATCATAGCCCAAGTCTGAAGATCCTAGATTCAAAATTGATAGTAAAGTATGTGCATTTGTAGATTCTTATGGAAAAAAAAGATTTGTCTAAGTACATATGAATTACTGATTATTCCAATTAGAGGCCAACATCAACATGCATCCAAATAGTGAATAAAAATACCGATAATAATCCTTGATTTTCTTTGTTTTGCTTAAATTTGTTTGCAATAATAAAATTTATTTTATTCATTGATAAATTATAGCAGCCAAAAAAAACCAGAAAATGGAATTGACAAGATTCAAGACAAATCTGTTTAATGATAAGAATAATTAATTGAATGATCTTAAGTTTGAATAGAATTAGTTGATTGCATATTGATTTCACATTCAAGAAGAAGATTACCAATCAAAATGTAAATACATATTTTCTGTCAAATTTCCTGTAGTAAAAATAAGCCTATTAAATTTTTGTTGAAAAGTTAAACCTTAAGGGAATGTTAAGAGGAGAAAAAACTGTTTAGACCAGATTTTGATTTCCCATCATCAAGATCCATATTTTGATAGTTTTTTTGTCGAGCCTGCGACTTTTGTCGCAGAAAGCTCGACATAGGGATAGTGATCCAGCGGCGGCTTAAGCTAACTTCTTAAAAGCTTTATATTTTAGAAGGTGGAAGACCTGGGTGCTCCATACTTTGTATATAGATGCCTTATGTTACGAAGTTTCCATCTATCACATGTCCATTGTCCTTGACCTCATTTTCATGGTTCAGTGACTACTTGAAAAAAAAGTTAACATTTTTTGTAATGTTAATTTCTCTCTTATTATGAGTAATAGGATAACTATATTTGGTATGTGCCTACCTTGCAAGGTCCTCATGCTCGTCAGACAGTTTTCACTTGACCTCGACCTCGTTTCATGGATCAGTGAACAAGGTTAAGTTTTGGTGGACAAGTCCATATCTCAGATACTAGAAGCAATAGGTCTAGCATATTCGGTGTATGGAAGGACTGTAAGGTGTACATGTCCAACTGGCAGGTGTCATCTGACCTTGACCTCATTTTCATGGTTCAGTGGTTATAGTTAAGTTTTTGTCTTTTGGTCTGTTTTTCTTATACTGTATGCAATAGGTCTACTATATTTGGTGTATGGAATGATTGTAAGATGTACATGTCTAGCTGGCAGATGTCTTCTGACCTTGACATCATTTTCATGGTTCAGTGGTCAAAGTTAAGTTTTTGAGTTTTGGTCTTTTTTTCTAATACTATATGCAATAGGTCATCTATATTTGGTGTATGGAAATATTTTATGATGTACATGTCAGTCTTGCAGGTTTTATTTGACCTTGATCTCATTTTCACGGTTCATTGCTCAGTGTTAAGTTTTTGTGTTTTGGTCTGTTTTTCTAATACTATACATGTATAAGCAATAGGTCAACTATATTTGTTGTATGGAAGGATTGCAAGCTGTACATGTCTGCCTGGCATGGTTCATCTGACCTTGACCTCATTTTCATGGTTCATTGGTCAATGTTTAGTTTTCTTGATTAAGTCTGTATCTTAGAAACTATAAACAATAGGTCAACTATATTTAGTGTATTGAATGATTGTAAGGTGTACATGTATTTCTTGTTTGGTTTAAATGACCTTGACCTCATTTTCTTGGATCATGTTAAGTGTATGTGATAGTTGTAGTAAAGCTTTATATTTAGGACTATCAACATAATATCAATGATTAGTAAAGAAGGCGAGACATTTCAGCGTGTGCACTCTTGTTTTATATATTTATAGTTTCTATATATAGGTTTCACATTATTATACTTTAAAGCCATCCTATCTATTAACTAAAAATTCTTTAAAAAAAATTATGGCAGCATTGTGCTATGAAACTGAGGTTTAAAAATGGGGTCAGACATACATTATATAACAATGCAGAGATACCTGACTACTGACCATCACAGATGACCTCTTCTCTTGTCAAAAACATTTTTGTGACAGAACAAAAAGCATTTTTTTTATATGAAAAAGGAACCTTGTCATGAAAAGTCAAGAGTCTCTGTTGAAAGATAAAAGCTGTGTCATTTTGAGATTTTTTTTATAGTCAAGCATTATAGACATAGGTTTCTTTATAGATTAATTGAAGTTATTTTCTACCTTTTTTTAGGTACCAAAACTGATGGATGACAGTGATGGTGACATATTTGAAGAGATGTCCAGAAAACATCCACACCTTCTCAACAAGATATACACACCACTGACCAGGGTCCACCTCGATCCAGTCTCAGAGAAAAAGACACCAGCTACCTCCTTAGAAAGTCCCTGGACTAATATTGACAGGTATGAAATCAACAATGGCCCACTTTTCAAAAATGTATGGATATATATAATGTATATTAAAAAATACTGTAAAAAAATGAATAAAGAAAAAAAAAGATATTTATCTTCAGCTCATCTCATCTAGGGTAAGAGTGAGCCATTGAGTCACTTAGTGTGTGTCCTTTAACTTTTTTCCTCTGAATCTATTGAGAAATATGAACCCAACTAGGCAGGAAAAATGTACATAAGGTCCTTTAAAACACTTTTTATACGCCTGTTTACGGGACGTAAATGGTATACTGTTGTCCGTTTGTCTGTCTGTCCATCGTCAACATGTCGGACAATAACTCAAAAATACTTTAAACAATTTGCATGAAACTTTGGTGAGTTGTTTTTATCTATTGACATAAGCTCCCTTTCGATTTTTATAAATTTTAGATTTTACGATTCTGAGTTGTAGGATTTTATTCATAAAAAAAGGTGGATTTTCCACTTTTTGGACAATAACTCAAAAGTGCTTTGAGCAGTTTTCATGAAACTTTGGTGACTGGTTTATATCTATTAATATAACCTCCCTTATGATTTTTATAAATTTCTGATATGACATTTAGGATTTATGGAATTTTATTCGTTGAAAAAGCGATGGGCGTATCATGCGCTCATGGCGCAGCTCTTTATTTTAATTTTGTTCCAAATGGATGAAAAACATATCTGACAAGTGTTGATTCTGTAAGTGAAATTTTAATTTGTTTTCTTGAAACTACAGGCTAAAATTATCAAGAACATGGGGTGCACGTAATGTCACAATTAGAATTGAACTTTAGTTTTATTTTGAGCACAACCGTTATTAAAATAGACATCTGTGTTTGCGTTGTTTCTAGGAAATTGAAGAATATCATTCTAAATGTAAGTTTACTTGTATCTTCATTTTTGTCGAGCCTGCGAAAGCAAGACATAGCGATCATAGATTCCGTCGTCGGCGACGTCAACATTTAGGTTCAGTCTGTGGTTAATGTTTTATTAGACATCAATAACTTCAGCAAACCTTCATTGAATTTTATGAAATTTGGACAGAAGCTTGTTAATGACCAAATAAAGTATTCAGAGCAAAATTTTGAAAATATTAAATTTCGTTTTTCCATATTTTACTGAAAAGGCCACACCAATTTGACTAATAGTTCTTTGGATTTTCCTGCTCCTGTTTTGGAGAAATTGACTTTTCAATAAAAGAAAATTTAATGCTTCTGCAAATTTTTGGTCCGCATGCCGCTCCAAAATGAGATTCTCCTTGAAATTTTTTTTTACATAGACGCTTTTCTGTTGCATATAATGCTCTTATCATTTTAAACGCACATGTGATAAATCGATTTGTAAATAAAAGTTAAAAATCGGGATGCCAATATGCAGTTGTGTCAGCTCATTGCCGTGGACAAGTAGTTATTGAACACACAGTTAACCAAAATGCTTCTTGTTTTACCTTTGAAGACTTGTTCTGGGCTGCAAAAATTAAAAATCTTTCGTTAGATGACCTCAAACACATCAATATTTGTTAGAACCATTGTTGTCCCCAATCCTTGTTTCAACAAGCATAGACCTATATATTTTTTGTATGAAATGAATTGTAAATTCCCATGAACTTTTTAAAAAATCACAGAAGTATTTGATGTTGATGAAACCCCATATCCCCTTGTTAGTCTTTTGGCATGCATGCAGAACTCTTCTTTTGTTGGGGGGGAGGGATTTAAAGTTTAATAAAGAGTTCCAACGAGACCAAGGTGATGCCGTATGGCATATTGTGATTGGCATGCTATTAATAATTAGGGGTATGTAATTGGTTCAACCATTTGTAGTCAAGCTAAAGATTTTTGTTAACAGCTTTTAGGAGCAAAAGGAAAGAGTATTTTGCTCAGTAAGAAAAATGCATGTGAATAGGGTGACAGGTATTTTAAAGGAATATTTTAATACATTTGGATCTACATGTATACTGTGGATTTCATTATTATTCGTTGGATACCAATTTTCGTGGATTTCGTAGGTGCAGGTGAACCACGAATTTAAATGTTCAACGAACTGCAAATTTTGAAAATATATGTTTTAATTTTTCTGTATATTACTGATAAATGGACTTAGATTTTTTTACAACTAACAAGTAGAAATGGTCTGAGGTTAAAGTTTGTTACACATCAATTACTTTGTCAAAGCTTCATAGAATTTTATGAAACTTTGGAAGAAGCCTTTTTGTAAGAGATAATGTCTGAAGCAAACTTTTGAAAATACATTTTTTTCATTTTCAGTATTTTTCTGATAGATGTACTTAGTTTTTTACAGTTAACATTTACAGACAGTCTAGGATTTATTTTTTTTGACATGATAAATTTGTAAACCTTCCTGGATTGTTATGAAACTTGGACGGCAGTTAGTCTTTAAGACCAAGAAATGGCATCTAAAGAAAAAGTTTGAATTTTTTTTTAAATTCTGTATTATACTGATAAACGAACTCACTTTTTAAGTCAACATTACACTTTTACTGTGGCAGCAGCAATCGCAGGCGAAACACAGGGTTCTGTGAAACACCTTACTTGTACTTTAATCATGAAACGTTTGGTTTTCTATAAAGTTTTGCCTTCATGAAATCAAAATGTTTGCCTTTGGAACAGGTCTAATACATCATCTTCAAAGTACAAAAGTTCAAATTTTCCTATTAGAATCAAAGTAACTCTATCATTCAATGCCCTAGGCTCATTTTAACGTGAGTAGGTATTTGTTAACATTTTACACCTTGCTTATGCTCATTATAAAGATGTTATCAAATTTAAAGCCTATCTGTTAAAATGAGCATAGAGCAGGACATGCAAGAATTATTTCTTAAGTTATCTTTAAATATTTTAGAACAGCAAAAGTTGAAAATTTATTAATAAAAGGTGTCTTTTTCTTTACAGGAAAGATGCTGATCATTACATCCATCAGCTGCAGAAGAGACGTCAAATGAAGGGGCGTAAAATATTAGATAAATCTCAAACCCCTGTCAACAAGAAATACCAAAAAGTATGTTATTGTTTTCAAAATGGCATGCAAATTTTCGTAAAAGGTCAAATACTTTTATGCCTGATAATAATTTCAGATTGGTAGGTTTTATTTGAAATACTAGTTTTGTCAAAATATAAATTTATCAAACTACATCAAAGACCTGGATTCTTCATATCTTGTATACAGATGCCTTGTTTAGTATGAAAACTGTTACTTATTAACGATATTTATGTTAAAGAAGCATTGCAAGGTCTACATATCCGACAGGCAGGGTTCACATGACCTGAACCAGATTTCATGGATCAGTGATCCAGATGGAGAAGACGGAACTAAGTTGAAAAACTTGTGTCTTATCCATTTGTTTTGTACAATAAAATATGTTTAAACTAACTAGTGATCAAGTTGAGTTTTTGTGGTCAAGTTTATCTCAGATTCCTCAAGCAATAGTTCATCTCTATGTTGTGTATGGAATTATTGTAAGGGGTACATGTCTTTCTAACAGGGTTTATCTGACCTAGACCTCATTTTCATGGTTCATTGGTCAATGTTAAGTTTATATGGTTAGGACTATTTCTAAGAAACTACAAGCAATAGGTCAACTATTTCTGGTGTATGAAATATTTATTTGGTGTACATGTCAGTGATGCTTGATTGTCTGAACTTGACCTTATTTTCATGGTTCTTTGGACAATATTATAAATTTTCTTGCTTAGGTCCATTTTCCAGATACTGTAAATTACGAAATTATTCGGTGAATTTATTATTGTGATGTTAGACAATTGACATAGATGGGAGTTTAAAAATTGTGATTTAAGAAAATGCTGCATACATGCTATCAAAATTTATAAAATGCAAAAAAAATTATTTGGGACAGCTATTTCGTCGAAATTGGGTCAAACATTTCTGAATTTGCAGTACTTTGAGCAATAAAGCAAATGTTGTGGTGTTTGGAATGATTTAAAACTATACATCATTTTCATGGTTCATTGGTCAAATAAAGTTTTCATTATTAGGTCTGTTTCTCAGATAATATAAGCAATAAACTATCTTTGGTGTATGGAATGATTGTAAGGTGTACATGTCTGTCTGGTATGGTTCGTCTGACCTTGACCTCATTTTCATGGTTCATTGGTCAATGTTAGGTCTGTTTCTTAGATACTATAAGTTATAGGTCAACTTTGATGCAAGGAATGATAGAAAGGTGTGCATGTCTGTCTTGCAGGGTTCATCTGACCTTGACTTCATTTTCCTGGTTTCTTGGTCAATATTACTTTTGTATGGATTGATCTGCTTCTGGTATACTACATGCATAAGCAGTGGATCATTGTAAATGTTAAGTTTATGGGATAGTTGTAGTTAAACTTTATCTTAAGGACTATTAGCATAAAATCAATCATTGTTAGTAAAGCAGGTGAGACATTTCAGGGTTTGCACTCTTGTTTTGAGAAAATAAAATAATACGAAGTCTTAAATGAGGTTGACAAATTAAGATATTGTCAAACTATTACCACTGAATATTATTTAATTTGAAGATTTTTCACAATGATTGATACTTAGTTTAAATGTAATTAGTGAAAATGTACCACATTGTTTAATACAATTTGATAGTTTTTATATGGGAAACATATTGAGAAAGTACATTTCTTCCATCTTACAATTGAGAAATCTTGAAATGAGATTTTGAATTACCAGACACCTAAAATTCATTTGTTTGCACTCATTAGATAATAATAATTTAGCTTCTTTGACAATTTTGTGACAGGTTTAAAACATATGCATTTTCTTCAGGTTTTAAATCTGTTGCATATGTAATGTATTTTTGGATCTCTGCAGTTTTATCACATTTTTGGTAGTCTAACTTTGGTGATAATGATGGGAATTTGTGTAATAAGGACTTGTTCCATGGATGCTGGAGTGCATAGAATGGGGATTTCCAGTCGGAAAATCAATTGTCCATGAAGCATATGCCAGCCTCAACAAGAACACTGTGTTAAATATACAATCAAATTTTGACTTTCTTTGCGATTTGTATCGTTAAACATCTCATTATTGATATACAAACAATTATCTCATCATGTGATATAGCATATTTATGGTTTTCAAAAGATTTCCTTGACTGTTCAAAATTGACATTATTTGGAGTCAAAATGGGGATTTTTTTGGAAAATATGTGACTGCTGACTGAGCTAGAGAGGTGACAGCTTCAACAAGTTAAAAAAATATAGGGAAATCGTTTAGGACATTTAAAAAGAACCGTAAGACCAGGTGACTTTTTCTGATTTGAGGTGACCGTAAGAGCTGGTTTCACTGTAATTGACATTGCAGTCCTTTTAATGGTTTTGGTGTTAAGGGTTATCTTCTGCTACAACACCTTGAGGAATCACAGTACTGAAGATGTTAATTTTTTGGGACATGGGTATTTTTGCTTATTTTGCAATCATGTAAAATGATGAAAATTCCCAAGGTCTGATAGTTGTAGAAGTCAATAATATTGATTTAAAGGACACACTCATATTTCGATTCACAAATTTAACCCCCATAAGATAAGTTTGTGCATTGAAACCATGTTATTAACAACCATCAAAAATATCCATGTTTACAATTACAGTTTGTTAAAGTTTTGCAATGATGAATATGCAATTAAATTTTGTATGTTCTGTATTGACTATTTTCATAGAAAGTAATAAGTTTTCGTTTTTTTACAGACAACAGCATCACCCACCAAGAATTTGTTTGGAAAGTCATTTGACAGCCAGAGCTTGTTCATGGATGATGCAAGCTCTTCGGAAAATCATGACAACTCAGAAGAAGAAGCTGATTATTATTTCTCTGACATGGAAAATTGATTATAAGGAGGATTCATTTTTTACTCATACACTTTTATTTCACTGTGCAATCATTTTATTTTTCTTCTGGCATTTATCTTAAATTTTATCTAGATTTATCAACAGTCATATTTATTTTGTATACAAATGCATTCATGTTCTTACATCCTGATTGTGTACAGTATATGAGCAGTATACGAGTCCCAAACTGAGTCAGTTATTCTACAGTAGCATCAACTTTAATAAGTTTTCATTCAAGGTGTGTTTATGAAGATTTAATAATGATAGACCATTGATATATTATATGCTATTGCATTAGCAGACTGCAAGGAGATATGAGGCTTCACCCTTTAATAATATTTGAGCGACATAATTTTTTTTACTTTGTTCAAATGTATAGTTTTCTGATAAAGTGTGTTTATAATGCAATGCTTATACCAGACCATTAATATTTGGTATGGTGTTGCAGCCCCATTTCTGCATTTCATCTTTAAAGAGAAAACGGCTTTTCCCTCAAATGTTTATGTAACTTTTGAAGTTTTACATTGTTCAAATGTTAGGTGTCTTAATTAAGTGTATTTTATGGCCCTCAGACTTAGGTTGGGGCCATATATTTTTACCCTTATCTGTCATTCCATCATTTCGCAGCGAACAGTTATACAGACTTTTATTCCAAATGCCTTCACATATTGATCTGATTTTTAGTATGTGAGTCTACAATGATGAGTTACAGATTGAGATCACATTTGCTTTTGCTCCACTGATTTTTGTAGAAATTATGGGCTTTGGACGTTGAAAATTTTGTAAAAATAACAGTTATACAGACTTTTTTTTCTAAACGCCTTCACATATTGAGCTGATTCTTAGTTTGTGAGTCTACTATGATGAGTTACATATCGAGTATACATTTGGTCGGCTCCACTGATTTTTGCAAAATTAGGGGCTTTGGACTTTCCACTCCCAAGAAGACTTCAAGCTTTTTTGCAAGCGGGCCACTCGTGTCATTCAGACACATCTAGTTTTAGAAAGTTTTCCAATAGACCATTGATATTTGCTTTGTTATTGCATTCAAACTCATGCATTTCAGTTCCACAAGCAGTATATTAGGCCCCACACATTCAGTTACTTTTGCATTTTTCATTTCTTTAAATGTTTTTCATTAAGTTAAACATCATTAGATTAGTTTAGTCATGCTCCACTAAATTTGAAGTAAGTAGTGTACTACATTATTCTGGAAAGGTGAAATGAAAGACCTACCAATTAGTTAGTATTTGCTTTAATGTTTCTCTGCACACAGTGTTTATTTGTAAGACTAAAAACTAACTGGTTAAGAATAATAATTTTAAATACACCACTCAATTTGTCATTGTTACAGATTTTTGATAGATGATTTTATAAGTACTTGGTTATAGACACCCAGTAATATGGCAATTTATCCAATTACTGATTTAGATGATAAATGTATTAGACATATTCTAATAACAGTTTTGTTTATGCTATGATTCATTATGTTATACAATTACTTACTCTGAAATAAGTTGCGATCATGATTTTAACCCCTTAAAGAGACAAAGACAAGGTGTATAAAGCTGTTAAAGGGTAGGTAAATTCAAGTTGCAATTCATTAATTCATTACTTGCTTATATCAACCTTGTCTGCCCAAGAATAGGTCAAACTTGTCAATGTTATGAGAATTTAAGGTCAAAATTATTATCAAATGTTCAAATGTAATGACTTGCATTAACTTGTTTCCCCATTTTCATTCTTACTTCAATTTCTTTCATCAAATCAACAGAATAACTTTTTTGTCCCAAATTAATTTATACATTAATAAATATATTTTGTAGTTTTTGTCTTACCTGCGACAAAGTTGCAGAATGTGAGACATAATGATACTAACCTGGCAGCATTGGAGTTTGTAGAAAGCTTTTAATATCAGAAATTATAACTCTTAAGCTGGAATACCGAAGCCCTTATAGTCTAAGGATAAGGTCTTCCATAAATCTGTTGTCTATGTCCTCATTTTCATGGTACAATGACAGCTTAAAAAAAAATGTATTATTTTTGTCCCCCGCGTATGCATTAAGGGGGACATAGAAATACCGAGCGTCCATCCGTACGATCTTGTTAGCGCTCTCATGTGTACAGTTCTTGCCAGTTTTTCATGAAACTTATATCAAAGGTTTGTATTAGCAATGTCTTGGACGAGTTTGAAAAACAGTGCAGATCAATTATTTTTAAAAGAGTTATGACCCTTAGAAACATTAATTATATGGAAAGTTGCATCGTTAGCGCTCTCATGTGAACAATTCTTAACAGATTTTTATGAAACTTATATCATAGGTTTATATCAGCAATATCTTGGACGAGTTTGAAAATCAGTGGCTGTCAATTTTTTTTAAAAGAGTTATGCCCCTTGGAAATATTGATTATATGGAAAATTGCAATTTTAGCACTCTCATGTGTACAATTCCTGCCAGATTTTTATGAAACTTATATCATAGGTTTATATCATCAATGTTTTTGATGAGTTCGAAAATCAGTGCCGATCAATTATTTTTAAGAGTTATGCCCCTTGGAAATATTGATTGTATGGAAAATTGCATTGTTAGCACTCTCATGTGTACAATTCTTGCCCGGTTTTTATGAAATTTATATTACAGTTTATATCATCAATGTCTCAGACAAATTAAAAAAAATCAGTACCGATCAACTTTTTTAAAAGAGTTATGTCCCTTGGATATATTGATTATATGGAAAATTGCATTGTTGTACAATTCTTGCAAGAATTTTATGAAACTTATATCATAGGTTTATATCAGCAATGTATTTGAAAATCAGTGCTGATCAAATATTTTTAACAAGTTATGCCCCTTGGAAAAATTAATTATAATGGAAATCGCATTGCATTTGCTCTGAAGCCTTCATTTCTCAAAGAAATTTATAAATTGTTTTATTTAGTTATTGACCTTGGATAGATAAAATATGTGCAATGCGGGGGACATTGGAACTATGTTCTTTTATATCACATGATTTTTTCTAATATCATCGGTAGAAGGACAACCAAATTTGGTGTATAGAACATTTCTATCACACTGGGTTCGTCAGATTTTAGATCTTGCCCTCATTTTTATGGTTTATTGGTCATAGTTAAGTTTTCATAATTAGGTCCATTTCTCAGATACTATATAAAAAAATGAAGACACGATAGATACCAAAGGAACATTCAAGGAAATATAAGGTATTGTCAATTCTGTAATGTGTCTTTAGAATACTTGTACATGTCCATCTGACAAGGTTTATCTGACCTGGATATCATTTTCATGGTTCATTAATTATGTTCAGTTGATTTGATATCTGTATTAAACCTTCATCTCAAAGACTTTCAACATCAATTGAAATCAATCAGTAATGCAGTCAAGACTCTTCAGCATGTTCACTTTTGTTTTAAATTTGTTTTTGTAAAAAAGTTTTATAATTTATTTTTAAGAATGATTCATTTAAATATACAGTAAACAGGTGTCCTGCAAATTAATTTTACAATGAATTTGTTGTCATTTTTTATTGTTATTCTATAATTGTTACATGTACAGTGTAAAGAATCAACTTTTATATGTATATAGTGTAATTTACGACTAATGTAAAAATTGTGGACTTTAAAATTGAATATTATCTATTATATGTAATATTGTATGATACAATCGTATAATCATTCTACAGTAAAACCTTCATCCTAATTGATTTTGGTGATGGCTTAAGCTAGATTCCGCTGCATGAAAATCTCATTCAAAGACCTTATATTATATCCCCACTCTAGGAATGTGGGCTATATTGTATTCACCTTGTTCGTCTGTATGTATGGTACCTCTGTATAGAGTGGCTTTATATTTGGTCAGCAGCTTAAAAGTGATGACTTGTAATGTGTGAGCACTTCTCAGGTCTGTAAGACACCTTTTTCCTGTTTGCCAATACTTTGAATTTTTTTATTATGTTAAATGAACTTAAAATTTTTCATCACTCTTTTAACAGGTACTAATAAACAGAATTACTTCCTGTTAAGTCTGAGCTTGACAGTGATAAGTTGTAAAGTGTTAGCCCTTTTCTGATCTGTCATACACCCATTTTCTGTGTGTGTATATTTGATCAGCATCTATAGTGATGAGGCTTAACGTGTTAGCACTTTTTGGATTTGTCAGACACCTATTTCTTGATTTCAGATACTTTAAATTACAAGTGAGGGTATGCTTACCATTACAATGCATGCATTCTAGTTCAAAATTGTTTTTTTTCCCTGATATATTTTAGTGTCAACAAAATTATAAAGGATGTGGTTGAACTTGAAAATGGTCACACAAAATAGTATTAAAAAGGTATCTGCTTTATTACCAGGTTTTTTATAGTGTAAGGGTAGCAAAGGTCTTTGTGAAAAAAACTGGTCACTTTAACCTTCATTTATGTATAAATGTCTTGTTGAGTTTTATTGATTGATTAATGGTTGCTTACCGTCCAGTGGCAAATAGTGCATGCATGTTCAGGACGAAGTTATGTTAATGTTTTATATTAATGTCCAGATCTAAGGGACTACTGTTTTATAGGAATAATATCTTGTCAGTAGGTAGAGCTTTTTAGAATGTTTCATTTTAGATTAACAATTGGTATAGCATCCTATTTATGATTAGGTATTTAGATAGGAATGCACACTCCCATATACATGACAGTCTGGATGGGTTTTATAGAATAGAGATTAACAGGCAAAAAATAATGTAGAGAAAAAAATAAAAGGAATTTAAAGAATACAGACAGATAGAACCCGTCTATACCCTCATAAATTCAGTGATAAAGCAACTAATTGTTTGGTTCTGCTGCACTTATGTATTTCTGTTGTATCTTCAAATTAAGTTTTCAACAAAAAAAAATCATTGTTAAGAGAACTAACTATTTCACATTTTGTCATGTTAGGCCTTTTATAGTTCACTATATGGATTTTGCTCATTATTGCCTATAGTTGCTTACCATACATTTTCATTAATTGGACTATGGTTGATTGTTGTCTCATTGCCACTCATACCATAACTTCTTACCATTACAATGTATTGTGAAATGACATTGCCTAATAATAATTAGATTTATCATGTGCTGTTGAGCATCTATATAGCCTTAACTGCCGTCGCCAATGTTATAGCTTACACCAATCTCACTACTATAATATTGGAATGATAAGTGTGACAATGTAGTTGTTAATAGATGCACTGGAATTAAATGTGAAAAAAATTCTCAGAAAAGTGATTTTACTTCGTTCTTAAGTTTTTTTATTATTGTTTTATAATTCCATGAAATGTAATTGCTTTACAATTTTAGGACACATGTCATCTAGTGAAAGACTGCTTTTTAATAAAGCTTAAAACAATTGCTTTAATATCATTTGACCATATTCCTTAAAAAGATTTGTTGAACTCAACCAAGATTTACCCTACTACAACTTTAAAATGTATTTTAACTACTTTTGATCATTGGGTTCAATGTATTATTCCTTTCTTTTGGTATCATCCAGTCAAAATGAATTAGCTGTAATTATTTATGTAACACTGAAATCATGAAATATAAGTAGTCATAAGTTTGATTGTGACTGCCAGATATCTTGGAAGGAAAACTAGATACTTATTTCCTTGCCATGTCTTCAACATTTTAATAATTGTTCACCATTGGATTCAGATTTGTACATTATGAACGTGAATTAAAATGTTAATGGTAAAACAAGGTATATGTCTAATAGACAGTTTGACAATAACACTACTGAATTGGCCTAAGTTGTTGGTTGCTTAGACCAGACTAAATGAAAACAAAATGTTGAATTTCTTGCCATGAATGATTATCATACAAGGTGGTGCTTAAAATTCTACAAAACTGTACACTTTTGTCTCACTTATGCAGAAAGCTACTGAAGACAAGACATGTTAGTTAAATGAGTCATTATCCCTGATGGTCAACCAAGTGAGGAACACATTTGAAATATCTAGGACATGCTGCAACAACAAAAAAGAAGTTCACTACCGTTTTTTTGATTCAGCCATGCTGGATCTATGCGATCACTCTGGTTTTGGAGATGGTGCAGAATACTAAGTTGGTGACATATCATGAAACTAATTATGTGTTTTAATGACTTGCAGAAACTTTCTACACCATTTTAATCATCAACTGCCAACTTTTGACATGTTATATGCCCTTAAATTAAGAAAAGATTGGTCGAACAACCCTTTTATTTTAAATATACACTTGCATATAGTTCCTTTGTAAATCAAAATTTATAATGATTTACTATATATGAATTAATTTGAAAAAGTATTTGTACATCAATTGAATCAGTTGATAAGAATTTTGAAAGTATTATATTAGTAAATTATGCTTGTGTAAGTTGTTGTTCAGCAAAATGTAGGTCAACATGTGTATTTATATATCTAAGTTGATTCCCACACTTTTTAGCTCACCGGGGCCCAAAGGGCCCCATGTGAGCTTATGCCATCACTTGGCGTCCGTCGTCTGTCGTCGTCGTCTGTCGTAAACTATTTCAAAAATCTTCTCTGAAACTACTGGGCCAAATACCTTCAAACTTTAACTAAATGTTCCTTCGGGTATCTAGTTTATAAATTGTATCCGAAGTTTTGATCCATCAACAAACATGGCCGCCATGGCTAAAAATAGAACATAGGGGTCAAAAGCAGTTTTTGGCTTATATCTCAAAAACTAAAGCTTTTAGAGCAAATCTGACATGGGGTAAAATTGTTTGATTGGTCAAGATCTATCAGCTTTTGAAATTTTCAGACGAAATCGAACAACCCATTGTTGGGTTGCTGCCACCGAATTGGTAGTTTTAACAAAATTTGGCAGTTTTTTGTTATTAAGTTGAATATTATTATAGATATATATAAACTGTAAGCAGCAATAATGTTCAGCAAAGTAAGATCTACAAAAAAGTTAATATGACCATAATTGTCAATTGACCACTTAAGGAGTTATTGCCCTTTAAAGACAATTTTTCACAATTTGTTCAAGTTTGCTAACATTTAAAAATCTTCTCTGAAATTACTGGGCCAATTACCTTCAAACTTTAACTTAATGTTTCTTAGGGTATCTTGTTTATAAATTGTATCCGAAGTTTGTATCCATCGACAAACATGGCCGCCATGGCTAAAAATAGAACATAAGGGTCAAATGCAGTTTTTGGCTTATATCTCAGAAACTAAATCTTTTAGAGCAAATGTGACATGGGGTAAAATTGTTTAATTGGTCAAGATCTATCGGCCCTGAAATTATCAGACATATCGAACAACCCATTGTTGGGTTGCTGCCACCGAATTGGTAGTTTTAACAAAATTTTGCAGTTTTTAGTTATTATTTTGAATATTATTATAGATATATATAAACTGTAAGCAGCAATAATGTTCAGCAAAGTAAGATCTACAAAAAAGTTAATATGACCAAAATTGTCAATTGACCCCTTAAGGAGTTATTGCCCTTTAAAGACAATTTTACACAATTTGTTCATCAAGTTTGCTAACATTTAAAAATCTTCTCTGAAATACAGGTGAGCGATTCAGGCTCTTGAGAGCCTCTTGTTTGAAATGGTATTACTCCAATTCTTTCCATAGGCAAGTAAGAGTCATTTATTTTAATCTACACTATACACTACTCAATTTGTTCTATCTGTTTGATTTTGTCTTCAGGAAACTGCACTCAAAGAAGGTATAGGGACATACATTTTATAGTACTTACTCAACAGAAGGTGAGAAGTTACCTTCTTCTTATCCTCGAGGCTTTGTTCTGGGTCCATGTCTTAATGACATGTCAAACAATCTTAAAAGTCTTGTTCTCCCCTGCAGATGACATTTTTTCCGTATATAACAACATCATCTCTTTCTGATTGTCCCACCCTTCAATCAAACTAACATACAATAGAACAGTGGGAGCAAGAATGGTTGATGTCATTCAACCAAGTCAAATGTGAAATCATCTACATGAAACCAAAAACATTATCTTTTAATATTCAGTTGTCTTACCACCAATGCAAAATCCTTATACATTCAACCAAATTCTTCAATTTTCACAGGTCTCTTAATTATCTTTTTAAAATTTTAAAAAAAACTTCTGTAAATGGACAGGCAAAGCAAACTATCTTGGCATTACCATCTCAAATGATCTTACGTAGAACTCGCCATATATTGACAGCACAAACCAAGCAAATCAATCACTAAAATTTACCAAAAGGAATGTAAAGACCAACAGCATGTAAATTAAATTATACTTCAGACCAACATTCAAATATTGTATCGTTGTCTGGGATCCTTAGCAGAAACAATAAATAAATAAAATCGAAATGATCGCGAGTAGAAACGGTCGGGTATACATTCAGTCAATACGGCTACCAAGATATTGAAAGGGTTATGCTAGGTCATCTAAGCTGGTAAAACAAAGAAAAATCGTGCATCAGCTACCATGAGCTTCAAAATTCAACATAATCTAGTTTCCATCTAAAAAAAAGCATTATCTAGTACCTTTAAGGGAACATAAATATGTACAGCTATTTTCTCTCACAAATAAGAAGTCTTCTGTTGATGTTATCGATACAGAACAATTACGCTATTATCCCATCAATTTCATCTTTCGATAAAGCTCTAATCAAAATTGTAACTGACCAATAAACTTCGTCTCATATTCTAGCAGGCAACTTGTATGCCCATATTCCATATTGACTTAGTCGATGTCGCTGCTAGTGAACGGGTGAACGTTTCGAAACAGTCCCGATTGTATTAATCAGCCCAGTCGTCATTGCTTCAGTGCTGACCTGCATGTCATTTTCGGTAATTACATCAACGGTACCAATCTTACTGCATGCACCAGATGCGTATTTCGACAATTAATTTCTCTTCCGTGATTCGCGAGTCAACAATGATTAAAAATCCAAAGCCTAAAACAAACGTTCAAGAGCTAATGAAACCGAAAAGGACCAAAAGTCAAACCCGGACTAGAAACAAGAGCTTTGCACGAGGGAAATCATTCATTGATTTCAAATGATTTTGAAAAAAAACAACAATATTCGTACTTGCATGCCAAAACCGGGTACTGCATGCCCTGGTTATACCATTGGAAGTAACAGACAACTAGCAAAGGTATCGGTCCAGTAGTAGTAAAAGAAATATTATTCTTATATTTTTCATATCTTTTGAAAGACCAAGATTGTGTGAATCCAGGCATAGATAGCCATGGCTAAGTTTGGCTCACCTTTTTGGATTTTTTGTTTTCAATAATTTTCGCCTTCGTGATTGATTTGCCCTTTTTTGGTTCGAACAAAACTGATTTGTCCTCTGAAAACGAAAAAAAAAAACGTCGGGTTTGCTAAATTAGAAGCCCGATATCATTGAAAGGTTTTTATGGCATAGCAAATGTGAATGATAAAGGTAACAAAATTTCACCTTGGAAATGGTGGTTATTCGTCCAGTGATTTGTATGAAATCCTTAAGACCAATAGATACATATTTAAGCAACAGGTGTTCCTGTATCTCTTCTTTCTTTATTTTCCATGAAATGTGCATGTTGATCTCCAGGGTAGTGATTGCGTTAATAAAATACTTTAGCATCTCCTTTCAACTGTCCGCGAGAGAGTTCCTTGATAGACATTTTATTAAGCTGACTAGCATTGTTTGGAACTGTCTGTCTGCAGTGGAGATTTTCAACTGAAGATATTTTATAATTTTCAAGATCCCATTTCATCTATCAATACAGTGTTGGTGTTAATTGAGCAATTCCTAAAACCTCGGCAATCCAAAAATTCCAGGAAAATCATGACTTAACTATTGTGGTAAGCTAGGAATTATATATTAATTAGTGTAATAGTTCCCGTGATAAGAGAATAAATAAGCGCAAAAAAATCTGGACACGGTGTAATGAACAATCAATTGTGAAAATAAGGCAAAAAATGAGCGCAAAAAAATGTGAAATACGGTTTAATTAACATTCTTCTGCGATATAATGGTACGCACCTTACAAACTTCGGAGGCAGAAGTTTTATTGGCTGGTGTTGTAATTACCCGAACAGGAAGTAGAACTGAATGTAGCAAAACGTGGACAAAGGATATGTATTTAAATCTGATTGTACATCTTAGCAATTCCCGCTTATTTCTGATACAAGTTCTGATTTTGTTTGATGGTTTGGTTTACTCTTATCTGTTTCATCTTGGTCGATCAATTGTTCGATATGACTTGATCATGTTTGATAGAACAGTTATTCAAGTATGGGTTGTTGGTGCTGAGTTATATAAACATTTTGGTTTCTATATAATGTTCTGTGTAAACCTCTCATGTACAACAGCCTGCATGTATGATAAATTTATATTTCATGTAATGACAAGAGCT